AGTTGTTAAGAAGCACCTTCTCTGGAGTAAGTCACATCTGGAGTCTCAATTTTTTAATTTCCTAGATTATAAAACACAAGGAAAGTCTGAAAAACTGTTACAGCCAAGAGGATCCTCGGGAGACATGATAAACAAATGTAACATGGTATCCAGGAACAGAAGAAGGACATTAAAAACACTAAGGGAATTTAAATAAAGTATAGACTTTAGTTAATAAAAATGCATCAAGATTAATTAATTAATTATTACAAAAGTACCATATTAATCTAAGAGGTTAATAATAGGGGAGACAGGGTCTGGGGTATATGGGAATTTTGTACTACTAGCATGATTTTTTCCTGTCAATTAAAAATGTTCTAAAACAAAAAGTTCATTAAGAAGAAAATAACATGTGGATTAGGGGATATTTTTGTAGCCATTATTGGAAAATACAATCTGTTACACTTTATGACTCTGGCTAAATTATTTAAACTTTGTGGATCTCAAGTTTCCTGCCTACCTCCATAGGGTTGTTGTGAGGATTAAATGAGTAATGCAAGTGTCTAGCATACTGTGTGGCATTGTAAATGCTCAATAAATTCTGTTAAGCAGTAATGATGATAGTCATTTATAATTTTTTAAAATGTCTACATAAGAATAAAAACATTTTCTTCCATTTTGATTGAGTTTTAAGAAGTTTGACTTTGCTCTTTTCTGGTTGGAACCATGGAGGGTGCAGAAGAGAAGAAGATTCCTGCTGTGCCAGAGACCCTTAAGAAAAAGCAAAGGAATTTTGCAGAGATGAAGATCAAGTGCCTGAGAAAGAAGTTTGCCCAAAAGATGTTTTGAAAGGCAAGGAGGAACCTCATCTATGAAAAAGCTAAGCACTATGACAAGGAATATAGGCAGATGTACAGACCTGAGATTTGAATGGCTAGGATGGCAGGAAAAGCTGGCAACTTCTGTATACCCTCGGAACCCTAATTGGTATTTGTCATCAGGATCAGAGGTATGAATGGTGTGAGCCCTAAGGTCCGAAAGGTGCTGCAGCTTCTTCGCCTTTGCCATATCTTCAATGACACCTTTGTTAAGATTAACAAGACTTTGATTAACATGCTGAGGATTGTGGAACCATATATTGTATGGGTCTACCTAAACCTGAGGCCAGTAAATGCATTGATCTACAAGCGTGGTTATGGCAAAATCAACAGAAAAGGAATTGCCCTTACAGATTGATTGCTCCATCTATTGTTAACTATGACATCATCTGCAAGGAGGATCTGATTCATGAGGCCTATACTGTTGGAAAATGCTTTAAAGAAGCAAACAACTTCCTGTGGTCCTTCAAATTATCTTCTCTACGAGGTGGAATGAAGAAAAAGACAACCCGTTTTGTAGAAAGTAGAGATGCTGGTAACAGGGAAGACCAGATCAACAGGCTTATTAGGAGAACAAACTAAGGTATCTACCATGATTAGTTTTGTAATCTGGTCATTTAATAAACAGGGAGTGCTTCATATTGAAAAAAAAAAAATGTTTGGCTTTACCAAGCCAGACCTAGTTTAGGGCCTGACCACTTTGAACCTGAACTGTACTATATCATCCATCCTTAGTTGATTTTTCTGCAGCTTGTCCCTGCCTCCTCAGTATTACAGTGGAATTGGCCTTATTAAATGTGTGTGTTATAAAATCAAATTGCATATTCTTACAGAATTTTGTAGATTCCCATGGCCTTAATTTGAATTTAAAGCTAAAACCCTCAGTGAATTTTGAAGGCAATTCTACCTTCCATTTCTCAAACCATGAAGACTAGAGGCAATACAAGTTTTGAGAAGGAATATTGAATTAGGGAATTAAAAGACCTGACTTTTAGTCCTTAGTTTGGCTTGAAATAGTTGACTGACTTGGGACAATTTCTTACACCTCTTAGAAACTTAGTTTTCTCATTGGTAAAATGAGATTTGGATTGAATAATGTTTAGTTGTAAGGTTGATTTACATTGACATCCAACTGAGAAATGTGCTCAGAGCTGTCTCTCTGGGAGATTTTACCTTTCTAAGGTTACCTAACAAGTAAATTGTCATTACATATGTTTACATCTCATTTTTGACCAAGTTATATTACTCTGCTTGATGATCCATTGTATACCTCACATAGCAGTGCCCATGTGGCTTTTTAATTGCTTCAGAAATTCAAACTCACTTTCCAGGTTTGCAGGTTTGTTACATTTCATTAAGGATAATTAATAGAATGTGCTAGAGATTCCAAAAAGGAATTTAAAAAATATTATGAACATTGACAGCATTGTTGGAGTAGATATTACAGCTTCCCAAATCAGTCTTTTTGAATCTACAGGTCTCACTTGGAAATGATGACTTTCCGTATTTTTTTAAAAAGTTGGTTTACTTTATGGGACTTCCTGTTGTACTCTGTGACTTTGGATTTGAGGGTCTTATTTTAAATTTTTAGTATTTTCTCAATATCATATAAGTCATAGCTTTGCCATTAACCAATATTATTTTATTGTAATTTTAAGATAACAGCACTAGAAGAGCGTTATGGGCAAGAGCTGTGTTGTGCAGAACAAAATTCCTAATGCAGATCTAGTTTCTGTCTTTGTCCAGAATTTAGGGGAAAGCTAAAGGTTGTCCATACATTTAATAAATCTCAGCCCCCCATTTTATTTTTTTTTAAACATGTTTTAATTGATTTTTTAGAGAGGAAGAGAGATATAGAAACATCAACGTAAGACAGAAACATCCATTGGCTGCCCCCTGCACAACCCCTACTGGGGATCGAGCCAGCAAACCGGGCATGTGCCCTGACTGGGATTGAACCGGGACTTCTCAGTCTATGCTACAGTGCTTAATCCACTGACCCATACTGGCCAGGCTTAGCCACTCATTTTAATATGATTAAAACTGGTAGGATTCGAATGTTTAAGTATGTACATGTTTGTCAGACATTTTAAAAGAAATAACTCATTTTTAAATAATTAAATTGAATTATTTGTCAAATACCATTTCACTTTACAAATGTGTGGTAAATTGGATTTCAGTGAACTGAAATTCTTTTTATTTGTAGAAATAACTGCAGATCTTTTTTCCATGGCAATGGCATGTTGTGTGTTAAAAATTTTAAAAGCATTAACTCTCAGTTAAGTAGAAAGTTCTTTAGAAATCGACTAATTACATTATCTAAACATTAACAGACTGCTATGTGGTGGAAGTGGTTTTTGATAATAATTCCACTTAACTTAGGCTGATCTTTCACCAATGAAGATTTGAATATTTTCCATGGAAAGCATTATGATGAGAGATAAATGCTACTATTGGAAACTATTAACTTTAGAAATTAACAGAAGATAAGTTTTCCTTGCATGGTTGCTTTCATTTGGTTTGGTCACCCCTTAGCTGAATAATTCTAAGCTTCCTGGAAAGATGCATGGCTAACCTTTACTTGGATATTTGGAACTTACTGAAGCATGCACTGGGCTTCCAATTAATGGAATTTGCATCATTTTAATTTCTCTGACAAATTAAAATTAAAATTTTAATTTTTCTTCTCTCTCCATTTTTAAGAAGGCGTGCTGTGCAATGTCATCTTTTTCTAACCCTTGCCATTAGAGGTATATAGAGGAAAGGTAGAAAAAGTTATTTTTATAAAGCGTTTGGTTTTACTAGAGGCTAGGAATTAGCTTTCTGCTTTAATAAGCACATATTTCCATTGGTTATAGTAGTTTCTAACTGTTCACTTCCTTAGTGTTTGAATTAACACTTGTATTTTTTTTAACCCTCACCCAAGGATATTTTTCTATTTATCATCAGATAGAGTGGGAGGGAGGGAGGGAGAGAGATGGAGAGAGAAACATTGATGTGAGAGAGACACATCGACTGGTTGCCTGCCACACGACCTGACCAAGGCCAGGGACGAACCTTAGCCGAGGTACGTGCCCTTAACCAGAATCGAACCCATTACTTATTGGTCTACGGGCCAACGTTCTAACCACGGAGCCAAACTGGCCAAGGCTTAAATTAACACTTCTTTATTTCAAATAAAATTCTCAATTTTGTTTCAGAGTTGAATGCTGACATTTGAATTTCTCTAGTAAAATATTATTTTAGCCCTGGCCAGTCTGGATCAGTGGTTAGAGTGTTGGCTCAAGGACCAAAGAGTTGTGGGTTCGAGCCCAATCGGTGTGGCTCACTGGTTGAGCATTGGACCCATTCACCAGAGGTCACTGGTTCGATCCCCAGTCAGGGCACATGCCCAGGTTGTGGGCCTGATCCCCAGAGGGTGGCATGCAGAAGGAGGCCAGTCAGTGTTCTCTCTCATTGATATTTCTATCTCCCTCCCTCTCCCTTCCTCTCTTTGTGAAATCAATAAAGAAAAATATTAAAAAAAAAAAAAAAAAAAGAGTTGCAGTTTTGATTCCCACTCAGGGACATCTACCTCGGTTGCAGATTCAATCCCCAGCCCAGTTTGGGGTCTTTTACACGAGATAACCAGTTGATGTGTCTCTCTCACATTAATGTTTCTCACTCGCTCTCTCTCCCCCTCCCTTCCACTCTATCTGAAAATCAAAGGAAAAATATTCCCGGGTGAGGATTTAAAAAAAAATCATTTTACTTTCTTTATTACTATTTTTCAATGATAATTAACATTCCTTCTCTCTAACCTATAATAAATAATTAGAAGAATAAAATATACTATTTTTAGATTAAAAGGGATTATTAAGAAAAGAAAATTTTGTGTTAATGCAATAGTAGATTGTTTTTTAGTTTGCTAATTTTTTTGCTTTCTTAAATTCCTCCTTTGAGTTTAATACTTGTTATATTTGTTATATGTTTTATATAAGAGTTTGAACTGTGGTCCAAAAGAGTCAGCTATTTATTTTTTCAATCTTTGGGGCATGTATTTTTTTTTTTTTTTTTTTTACCATTATGACTATATTTATTGTGCCTAAGAGGCAAGGTAAGGGAGAAACCTCAAAAGGCAGAAAGTGAGACAAAGTCTGGAAGGTGTCTGCTGGTCCAATCACAGTGTAAGAGGAGACTCTCAATAGATCATTCCCTTTGTTTCTCCTCTGGGCTTCTTGAGCTTCTCAAAGTTCTTCAGGATGATGTCATATAACACAGCATAAGCATTTCGGATCTCCATGACCATCAGCCGGATATCCCGGTACTCTGCCTCATCCAGCTCATGTACCAGCTGCCGATAATCACCCACATGGGGCTGCTTGGCTGCTTTGGTCACAGCATCACCCCGTTCAGAGAAATACTTGGAGATTTGAGTATGGAATCCTTCCAGCTTGGTGTGAAGGGCAGTCATCAGCTCAAACACCTTCTCCTGGACAGCCACTCCAAAATTGTTTCCATCCTCAATCCGAGGTATCTGCAGCTGCAACCAGGTGGTGACCAGTTTAAGCTGCTCAGTGACATCCTTAATCTCAGGCTTTAGGCGCTGCAGGAGGATCACATTCTTCTCATTGCAGTTCACTGGGCCACAGGGAGGACCTTTGTCTTCATCTTCTTTCTTCTTTTCATCCTTATCTTCTTTCTCCTGCTGTTTCTTCCGCTCTTCCTTCTCTTTCTCCTTGACTGGATCAGGCACAGCAGGGCCTTCAGATTGCTCAGGTTGGCTTCATTGACAGCTGGCTCCTTTAAAAATGCATCCAACTCAGAAATCTTCTTGGGGAAGTAGCTCCCAAGCAGGTTCTCTGTCTTGGTACACAGGTCTTCACGGAACACATCCACCTTGGCTTGGGCTTCAGGCTGGACCCTGAGTGTGGCCATGGCCGGGGCGGGCGGGGGCTTGGGTCGCATGAGGAGCGAGCACTGGGCACCGGGAAGGGCTATTTTTTTTTTAAAATTTTTATTTATTTATTTATTTTTATTAATTAATTTTTGTTACATGTGTTTCTCCTTTTTCCCCCACTGATTCCCCCTTCCCCCTCCCTCCCTGCCCTTTCCCCAGTTTGTTGTCCATGTCCACTGTTCATGCATACACGCATATAAGTTCTGTGATTTATCTCTTCCCCACCACCCCCCTATTTAGGGGATTGTCAGTCTGTATCCCATTTCCGCGTCTCTGGGACTACCCTTTTCCTCAGACTGTTATGTTCATTATATTCCACAAATAAGTGAGATCATATGAAACTTGTCTTTCTCTGTTTGGCTTGTTTCACTTAGGATGATACTTTCAAGGTCCCTCCATGTAGTCTCAAAGGATAAGAGGTCTTTCTTTCTTACAGCTGCGTAGTACTCCATTGTGTATATGTACCACAGCTTTTTTATCCATTCGTCTACTGATGGACACTTGGGCTGTTTCCGGATCTTAGCTATTGTAAATAGTGCTGCTACAAACATGGGGGTACATATATTCTTCCTGATTGGTGTTTTAGGCTTCTTCGGGTATATTCCTAGAAGTGGGATCACTGGGTCAAATGGAAGTTCAATTTTTAATTTCTTGAGGTAACACCATATTGTTTTCCATAGTGGCTGCACCAGTTTGCATTCCCTCCAGCAGTGTACTAGAGTCCCCTTTTCTCCACACCCTCGCCAACACTTGTTGTTTGATGATTTGTTGATGGCGGCCATTCTGACAGGTGTGAGGTGATACCTCATTGTTGTTTTAATTTGCATCTCTCTGATGATTAGTGATGATGAGCATTTCTTCATATGTGTCTTAGCCATTTGTATGTCCTGTTTGGAGAGGTGTCTATTTAGTTCCTCTGCCCATTTTTTAATTGGATTCTTTGTCTTCCTTTCGTGGAGTTGTATGAGCATTCTATATGTATTGGAAATTAACCCCTTATCTGATATATCATTGGCAGTTATGCTCTCCCATACAGTGGGTAACCTTTTCGTTTTGATGATTGTATCTTTCGCTGTGCAGAAGCTTTTGAGTTTGATGTAGTTCATTTTCTCCTTTGTTTCTATTGCCTTAGGTGATGTGTCAGTAAAAATTCTGCTGTGTATGATGACTGAAATTTTGTTGCCTACAGTCTCTTCTAGGATTTTTATGGATTCATAAGTTACATTTAAGTCTTTTATCCATTTTGAGTTTATTCTCGTGTAGGGTGTAAGTTGATGGTCTAGTTTCATTTTTCTCTAAGTAGCTGTCCAATTTTCCCAGCACCATTTATTAAAGAGGCTGTCCTTACTCCACTGTATGCTCTTGCCACCTTTGTCAAATATTAATTGAGCATATTGCCTTGGGTCCATTTCTGGGTTTTCTGTTCTGTTCCACTGGTCTATATGCCTGTTCTTGTGCCAGTACCAGGCTGTTTTGATTACAGTGGCTTTGTAGTATAACCTGAAATCTGGTATTGTGATCCCTCCAACTTTGTTCTTCCTTTTCAAGATTGCTGTGGCTATTCGAGGCCTTTTTTGGTTCCTTATGAACTTTTGAAATAATTGTTTTAATTCTGTGAAGTATGCTGTTGGTATTTTGATGGGGATTGCGTTGAATCTATAGATTGCTTTGGGTAATATGGACATTTTAATGATGTTAATTCTTCCAATCCATGAACAGGGTATGTGCTTCCACTTTTTTATATTTTCCTCTATTTCTTTTTTCAATGACCTGTAGTTTTCTGTGAATAGGTCCTTTATTTCTTTGGTTAAGTTTATTCCTAGGTATCTTAATTTTTTTGCTGCAATGGTAAATGGGATTGTTTGCTTAGTTTCTCTTTCTGTGAGTTCATCATTGGTATATAAGAATGCCATCGATTTCATGACATTAATTTTGTATCCTGCTACTTTTTCCAAATTCATTTATTAAGTCTAGTAAACTTTTGATGGAGTCTTTGGGGTTTTCTATGTATAGTATCATGTCATCTGCAAATAATGACAATTTCACTTCCTCCTTTCCAATTTGGATCCCTTTTATTTTTTCTTCCTGTTTGATTGCTGTGGCTAAGACTTCCAGTACTATGTTAAGTAGGAGTGGCGCAAGTGGGCATCCTTGCCTTGTTCCTGTTCTTAAGGGAAATGCTTTTAGTTTTTGCCCATTGAGTATGATGTTGGCTGTAGGTCTATCATATATGGCCTTTATTATGTCTAAATATGATCCCTCTATTCCCACATTGCTGAGCGTTTTTATCGGAAATGCATGCTGGATTTTGTCAAAGGCTTTTTTCAGCATCTATTGATATTATCATATGGTTTTTATTCTTCATTTTATCTATGTAGTGTATCACATTTATGGATTTGCGAATATTGTACCAGCCTTGCATCCCTGGGATGAATCCCACTTGGTCATGGTGGATAATTTTTTTGGTGTATTGCTGGATCCGATTTGCTAGTATTTTGTTTAGGATTTTGGCATCTATGTTCATCAGGGATATTGGCCTGTAGTTTTCTTTCTTTGTTGTGTCTTTTTCTGGTTTTGGAATTAGAATTATGCTGGCTTCATAAAACGAATTTGGAAGTCTTCCTTCTTCTTGAATATTTTGAAATAGTTTGAGGAGAATGGGTATTAGTTCTTCTTTGAATATTCGGTAAAACTCCCCCGTGAAGCCATCCGGGCCTGGGCTTTTGTTTGCTGGGAGAGTCTTGATTACATCTTCAATTTCTTCTGTTTTATTGGTTTGTTCAAGTTTTCTATCTCTTCCTGGTCCAGTTGTGGGAGACTATGTGTTTTTATAAATTTGTCCATTTCGCTTAGATTGTCGAATTTGTTGCCATATAATTGTTCATAGTGGTTGTTAACGATCTTTTGTATTTCTGTGGTGTCAGTTGTTATCTCTCCTCTTTTATTTCTAATTTTGTGTATTTGGGTTCTCTCTTTTTGTTTCTTGGTGAGTCTAGCTAAGGGTCTATCAATCTTGTTTATCTTTTTGAAAAACCAGCTCTTTGTTTTATTGATCCTTTGAATTGTTTTTTTTTTTTTTTTGGTCTCTATGTCATTTATTTCTGCTCTGATCTTTACTATTTCCTTCCTTCTACTTGCTCTGGCGTTTTCTTTTTGTTTGCTCTCTAGTTCTTTAAGTTGTGAGGTTAGATAGTCTACTAGAGATTTTTCTTCTTTTTTGAGGTAGGCCTGTAGTGCTGTGAACTTCCCTCTCAGAACTGCTTTTGCTGCATCCCATAGATTTTGTGTTGTGTGTTCATTTTCATTGGTTTCCATGAAGTTTTTGATATCTTCCTTGATCTCCTCGGTGACCCATTCATTGTTTAATAACATGCTATTTAGCTTCCATGTGTTCAAATTTTTGTATGTTCTTCTTGCAATTGATTTCTAGTTTCATGTCATTGTGTTCTGAGAAGATGCTTGATATAATTTCAATCTTCTTGAACTTGTAGAGACTTAGTTTTTGCCCTAACATGTGGTGTATCTTTGAGAATGTCCCATGTGCACTTGAGAAGAATGTGAATTCTGTAATTTTGGGGTGTAGTTCTCTGTAGATATCTATTAAATCCATTTGGTCTAGTGCTTCATTTAGAGTCTCTGTTTTCTTGCTAATTTTTTGTCTAGAGGATCTATCCAGCGATGTCAGCGGGGTGTTGAAGTCCCCTGCTATGATTGTATTGCTATCGATTTCTCCTTTGAAGTCCTCCAGAAGTTTTTAAATACATTTTGGTGCTCCTGTATTGGGTGCATATATGTTTATCAAGGTTATATCTTCCTGTTGGATAGATCCTTTCAGTATTATGTAGTGGCCTTCTTTGTCTCTAATTATGGCCTTCTTTCTGAAATCTATTTGATCAGATATGAGTATTGCTACCCCAGCTATCTTTTCCTTTTTGTTTGCTTGGAAGATTTTTTTCCATCCCTTCATTTTCAATCTATGTGAGTCTTTTGTTGTGTGGTGGGTCTCTTGTAAACAACATATAGATGAGTCATGCTTTCTTATCCAATCAGCTACTCTGTGTCTTTTTATGGGAGTATTCAGTCCATTTACATTTAAGGTGATTATTGATATGTACTTATTTATTGCCATTTTTGTTTAGTGTGGTTCTATTTTTCTTCCTATTTCTCCTGGTAATTACAGCAGTCCTTTTAACATTTCTTGCAGTGCTGGTTTGGTGCTAATGTATTCCCTTAGCCTTTTTTTTTGTCTGGGAAGCTCGTTATTTGACCTTCTATTTTGAATGATAGACTTGCTGGCTAGAGTAGTCTTGGATTCAGATCCTTGTTTTTCATGACCTTGATTACTTCATGCCATTCTCTTCTGGCCTGTAGTGTTTCTTGTGAGAAGTCAGCTGAGAGCCTTATGGGGTTTCCTTTGTAGGTAACCTGTTGCTTATCTCTTGCTGCTTTTAGGATTCTCTCTTTGTCTTTAATTTCTGGCAGTTTGATTACTATGTGTCTTGGTGTAGGCCTGTTTGGGTTCTTCTTACTTGGGGCTCTCTGTGCTTCTTGAACTTGAATGCCTCCTTCCTTCACCAAATTAGGGAAGTTTTCTGTCACTATTTTTTTTAATATATTCTCTAACCCTTGCTTATTTTCTTCTTCTTCAGGGACTCCTATGATGCGAATATTATTCCGTTTCCAGTTGTCCCACAGTTCTCTTAAGCTGTCTTCCTGTTTTTTAATCGTTTTTTCCTTTTGGTTTTCTGACTGGTTGATTTTTTTTTTACCCTGTCTTCTAATTTACTGATCCGGTCCTCAGCTTCCCCTACTCTGCTTTGTAGACCTTCCAATGTGTTTTTCATTTCTGATATGTCATTCTTCATTTCTTCCTGTTGGTTTTTAATTTCCAACTGGTTGATTTTCAACATTTCTATGTCTTTACTCATGGTGCTCATATCGTTACACATGCTGTTGAGTTTCCTCAACATCATGGCTC